GAAAGAAAGAAAGAAAGAAAGAAAGAAAGAAAGAGGAAGGAAAACAAGAATGAAGAAAGAATAAACATTTGGGTTTATTATATTAATAATAATATTAATATTATAAGTCAGTAGGTCATGGATTAGATGTTTGTAGAGATATTTTGGGGTTTTGACAGTGGGAAAGTTTAAATACGTCTATATAAATATCTTTCATAACAATTTATATGAACTCTAAGGAGGTTGTTTTCAAAGACTCCCAAGAGAATCACAGATGGCTGTCTCCCCTGGATGCTTATGTGGCCACCTGCTCAAATACTATTTGGGGGTGCCTGGGTGGCTCAGTAAGTTAAGCATCTGACTTTAGCTCAGGTCATGATCTGGCAGTTTGTGAGTTCAAGCCCCACATCAGGCTCTACACTGACAGGGAAGACCCTGCTTGGGATTCTCTCTCTCTCTCTCTCTCTCTCTCTCTCTGCACCTCTTCCACTTGTGTGTCCTCTTTCTCTCTCTCTCTCAAAATAAGTAAACTTTCTTTTTTTTTTTTTAAGATCCCTTCTGGTTCTGGAGCTCTGGACCTCTTCACATTCCTGCAATGATTTAGGTGATATATCTCATAGAATAGTGTCTCTTCCTGGTGAACGCTGGGTGTTCTGCAAAATCCTAATCACCCTTTTCTTGTCCTCCTGTCCTAGCTCACTAGAGTCCCTGTGGAGTCCTGTGGTCAGTATCGGAGCTGCAGTGAGTGCCTTGGCTCTGGTGATCCCCACTGCGGCTGGTGTGTGCTCCACAACACGTGAGTACCTGAGTACCACTGGGCAGCTTCCTCCTGCCTCCTACTTCCCCACCCCACCCCCCACCTTGCCCTCCCATAATTCTCTTCCTCCTCGCCTTCCCTGTCACCAATCTCCTTCCCTTTGATCTCTCTTCTCTCCCTGCCTTTTCTTACTCTGCCTTTTTTGTATCCTTTGCAAATCCTATCCCCTTCTTTTGTTCTGACTTCACTTTAAATTGCCAAATTCCCATAAGAAATATATGCAAATATCAGCTTGGGAATGATGATGAGTTAGGATATGGAATCACAAGGGTAGTAACATTCTAGAGGGCTGGAGGGAGGTTCCTGGATATTTCTGAGTATGGCTGTGGACTGATGTTCCAGGACTGAACACCAGGAAAAAGGCATTGATTGGACTTTTTTCTCAAGGCTCACATAAGCCACAAAATCATGTGCAAGATACATACTCTCCATTTAGTGATTCAACGTCCACATAACACTCTTCAATATCCACCCCTCAAAAAAACTTCTGGTATTTGAGGGGTATATTTTGAGTGTGTAGCACCCAAAGACCCTCCCTCTGCTGTCCATGCACTCATCTGGCTGTCAGGGGACCCTGGGCCTGGGGTCACTAGGCCAGTGAAGCCCCGTCCCAAGTGCTGGGTGTTCTCCCTATGTTCCCCTTAGTGCTGGTTCCACAGTATTCTCTAGAAGCTGGGAGAAGGCAGTAGTATATACAATGGAGGTAAATGGTGGTCTGATAAGTGATCTGAGGACTGGGATACAGGGTATAGACAACCAACCCAGACACATGGAGGGAACTAAAGGCACTTCTTTGGAGATCCAAAGACCCTTAGCATTGCTGACCGGAGAAGCCAAAAATAGTTGGGCCCCACTCGGAGGGAATTTGATCCCAGTTAAACTACTGCTGCTGGAACCCCAGACTTCTAGTCAACACTTGAAACAGACATGTTGCGTGTTGGACACAAGTGTCATACGTTAAGGAGAAAGGCTTTAGTCTTCCTGCAAAGACTCTGAACTATGTGTGACCAACGACCATTTCTGGTCATTTTCAACTGTGAGAAGGTGGGGGGTGGGCAGGATCTTGTTTGCAGGAATGCTGGCTCAGAATTTAGGAATGCTTCTGAAAGTGAGAAATGTCCTCTTAGGTGTACATCCTCTCCAAGGGAGTGGTCACCCTCCCATCCCTGGGGAACAGGCTTATGCATAATGAGTCCTTGTGCTCTTTGAGGGAAGGTCTGAAATCCCTCATGTGTATTATGGTGGGAAAAACGGAGACCCACTGACCCACATAACTGAGAGATGACTGGAAACTGGGGGTGGGAACGTACTCAAATGTGTGTATGGTAACAGAGAGTAGCAGAGTCCAAGAGGGGCCGGCATAACAGAACGGGGGAGATTGCATTCAGAATTCAGATCAGCTCTGATCAGCACAGAGGAGTTGCCCAAATGGTACTTTGCAAGGCAGAAGGGAAGTCATTTCCTTTTTCCCCCACAATGAGTCCTCTCAGAAAGGGACCGTGTTCCAGACCCATTGCTTCCTTTGGGGCCTAGGCCAGCTGGCTTTCTTCTCAGCCAAGGGTGGCTCAGCTGCTCCTGGCGTGGGGTGCTCACACCTGGCTTCCTTCAAGGACAAATCAGGAAAGCCAGCCCCTCTTGGACACTCTATGCCTGGGGGAGCCAAAGACAGGTCTCCATGTCAGCTTTGATCCTACCTAGAGAGACTGACCCACCCCACATAGCACTAAGCCCTATGAGGAAGAGGGACCCGGAGGCTCTGAGAAGGAAGCAGAGAGACTGTGAGTACCCCTGTATCCCATCCCCAGAGCTGAGCCAAACAGGAAGAAGAAGAGGAGGGACCAGAAATTACTTCCTGTATGGCCTCAGTTTCTCCTTCAGAAACATAGTACCTGCCTCCTGTCAAGTGGCAGAAAACAGGGGTGAACTGGGGCCAAGGAGAAATCTGGACAGTTCATGAAGGAGCCCATCAGTCTGCACTGGGAAGCCAGCAGCTCTATGCTCAGTGAATGTGGCCTAAGGAAAACAGCCATGGGCATGAACTTTGGGAATCTGCCACCAAGGCCAAATTCCACATCGCCCAGCTGTGCAGCAATCTGGGGCAGCCCAGCTCATCTGTGAATTAGAGATGGCAGTGCCGGTCTCACCCACCTCACCAGGTCACCGGAGAATGAGATGAGATCCCGTTGGCGAAAGCATGCCATGCACTGTGGAATGCTATGCAATGTAAGGCGGGGGTTGGGGCAGGAATCGTGACGCAGCTGGGAAAGGACTGAGAGCCCCTGGGTGTGGGCGCCCTGCCGCTTATGTTTTCGGTCAGCCCCCATTGATTGTCCAGATGGCTCCACTTAAATTGCATCCTTCCCTTCCCATGGGCATCCTAGCCTCAAACTGCCTTCCTCTGAGTGCTAGATGCTCCTGCTGGATCCCCCTCACCTCTGTTAACCTGGCATCCCGTCTTCCTTTGAAGTTTGCATATCGTATTCGTATGTGGCGTGTGGGAACAGCCCTTACTAGGCACACGTTCTCAGAAAGCAGGGGAAGGGCTTTCTCTGTGCTGCTCAGCACTGAGCGGCGGTGGCTGCTGCTGCTGCTGCTGCTGCTGCTGCTGCTGCTGCTGGAGCTGCTGGCAGCTCTTCCTTTTGCCCAAAATGCCACGGTGAGAACAGGCGTGGGAGAACCAGGAGGGACCTAGAAGGACGACGGGGATGGAAAGCTACTTCCACTCGGGGAATGAAGTCTACTTCTCACTCTTTGCAAAAGTGCTATGGGGGGTTGGAAAGTATAGGCAGCTCCCATTACTCATGGTGGTTCTGTTCTGTAAGTCACCACAAACACCAAATCAGAGAATACCGATCCATAGCTCCTGGGGTGGTTCCCGGGTCTGGGTTCCTATGAGCCTCTGGTCACAGCACGTCTGTCAACCAGTCAGTACATAACTGCGTTCTGTTTTAAAAACATTTGCGGTGGGGGCGGTGGGGGGGAGCGCCTGGGTGGCTCAGTGGGTTAAGCGCCTGACTCTTGGTTTCAGCTCAGGTCACGATCTCACGGTTCATGGGTTCGAGCCCCGCATGGGGCTCTGTGCTGATCTCACGGTTCATGGGTTCGAGCCCCGCATGGGGCTCTGTGCTGACGGCACGGAACATGCTTGGGATTCTGTTTCCCTCTCTCTCTGCTCCTCCCCCATCGGTACTCTGTATAAACAATGTTTATTTATTTATTTTTGAGAGAGAGAGAGACAGAGTATGAGTGGGGGAGGAGCGGAGAGAGAGGGAGACACAGAATCCAACACAGAATCATGGGGCTTGAACTCGTGAGCCACGAGATCATGACCTAAGCCAAAGTTGGATGCTTAGCCGACTGAGCCACCCAGGTGCCCCAGTGCGTCTCTGTGTAAAGCCACCTTATTTAATAGAAATTGTTTCATTAACACGGAATTCACGGCCAACAGCACCACATCTCTTGCCTGAACACAGCTTATCTAGCACATGTGTTTTCCCCATAAGGCATATCATGGTCTTCTCATGCTTAAGAGCCCTAGACAGCACTTCAGCACAACACTTGGGGGCCATTTTAAAGGGTGAAGTCACCAAGAAAATGCACAAAAATGCGAAACAAAATGTGGCACTAAATAGACCATGAAAAGGACATTTGTTTATAGTATGAGCTGAAACAAGAAGGCAGAGTATCACTACCTTGTCCAGCCTCTGACGGAAATGTGTGCATGTGACCACTCCAGTTTTTCTCCACTCTGCTCATGTCCAGGAATGACCACAAAGGTGCCATAAGTATCAGTGTGGGGATTTTAAAGAAATGTCAGCAAGTAGGTGAATGGACAAAAATGGAATCCACAACTAATGAGGCTCAGTCGTAACTCTGTACATCAGAAATTTGGCATCCTTGTTTATGAAGAAGAAACAATACCTTCTCATAGTCGTGGCAAGTGGATGAAATTAGGTAATAAAGGACGTTGTAGGTCAAGGTGATGTTCTCTGAAATCTTGAGCCTCCTGATGCTGGGGTCTATGCCAGTGCATGGTCAATCTCAACTCCTCTGGGAGGATACAGCTCATGAGCACCCCCAGGTCAAGACTGCCTTCCAGCCTGCCCACCATGACACTCCCTCCCAGGGTTAATGACCAAGGAGAAGCTCTGGTCCACATGGCTGGATGAAGAAGAGAAGGTTCCTGGATCTTCTAAGATGCTATAAATCAGAATATAATGTTAAATATAGACAGAGTGAGATAAGCAGATCGTAAGCGTACAGTTTGAACAGTTTTGACAAATGGGAAGGCCCAGGTAATCCACACTCCCATCAAGATACACAAAATGTCCTTCATCCAGAAAGTTCTCTCATGCTCCTTCCCATTCTTTCCAGTGGACTTTTCTTCCGAGTTGCTTAAGTTCAGGTTGAAGCCAGACACTATTTCTTCTGATACACTCTCCATTTCATTTTATTTTTATGTATTTAATTTAATTTTAATTGTATTTATTTTATTTATATTTTATTTTTATTTTTATTTTTTATTTTATTTCCTTCCTTTCATTTTAAATAGATGCCAGCCAGACATTCATGGTTGGGAGAGATGCATGAGGACGCGGCCAGAGAAAGCTGGAGCAGGCAGATCAGAGCAGAAAGTGGCAGAGGACCAGAGGGAGCCCGCAGACGCTTCCCCTGGGGCCCCTCTGTTTGCCAGGCAGGGAGCGTGGTGACAAATGCAGGGGGTTTTATCATGCATGGGGGTGCCATGCCCCCGTAGCCCTTGTCCATACAACTTTCACACTGGCCCTGCTCCCTTGGTGCCAGGCACTGTGCTAGGCTCAGGGGATCCAGGGGGACTACGTTAGACTGGCTCTGCCCTGAAGCTTCATGGGAACTGGGGCCCTTGGGCCAGGGAAAGGGTGGGGGCTGCAGACTGCACCGGAATCAGTGCATTTGGTAGGGCCGCATCATGGGCAAGCCCCTGTGCTAAGTGCTCCAGG